TTTTTATTCAAATTTGAAGATAGCCTTTTTGGGTATTTGCGGATATGTAACATGTGTCGAATTTAAAAATCGGAAATTTGGCAATAATGCATGTTAAAATTAATGCGACATTAAAAACATTGTCATTTCCTAAAAGTGCGTAATTTTTAGAGAATTTTCGTTAAAACCGCAACTTCATAGCTCAATTTTGATGCCACTTACGAATTTGCCTGTTTTCAACTTGGCAACGCTGTAGCGCGCGGGAAAAATTTCGGGTGAACTTGCCAATGCCGGAAAAAGGCGTGTCTTGTGATAGGGAACAACATATCCAACTCCGGGCAAAATCCAAGCGTAGGGTAAAATCGCCGATTTTGAATAACCCTCTTTGCTCCAACAAAAACTTTGAATTTTTGGCGATAGATAGTAGGGCAGTGGTTGAGTTCAAAACCACTCATAACTCAATTTTTTCCAAAATGTGGCTTGGTTCCTTTCTGCTTAATTCGGTTCAAATATGCCATCGAAAAATTAAGTAAATATGATTTAGATGGTCGTAATTTAGGATATAAAGAAACGCTCAATTTTTTTACCATTCATTGTTTCAGCTGAAATATCTTAAAAACAGTGTCTCCAGTTTTAGATTTGTATTTTTTTAGTTCAAGCGCAGGATAAAAAATTTTCGTTGCCGGTTAAAGTCTTGAGATACTTTGATCAACAAGTAGCAAGTTGTATTTTTTTCCTTCTTTTTTTAAACCAATATTGGACCTTTTCTGTCCACATTTTTTACGCCTATAACTGTGAGTTGGCAACTGCAAAAAGTATAGCAACCACAATTTTCTATCGCAAGCTTGGCCTAAAAAAATAAGAATCTAGAATCGGAGATACTGTATTTGAGATGTTTTAGCTGAAACAATGAGTGGCCAAAAAATTGAGCATTTTGTAATCACCTAGATTATGGCCATTTAAATCATTTTTAGCTCGATTTCGATGGTAGATTTACGAGAAAAATTGATCTAGCGACACTTTAAAAAATAATGGATCTATACAGAGTTTTAACAGGCACAGTCAAAGAGAGGGAAGTTCAGAAAATGAGAATCTCTGAAACGGGCTGTTTCGAATAGCGCTGAAATTCACCTCATCTTCGAGGGTCGATATTTCGCGAACGGGGCGTCGGATGGTGCCGAGTACCGCACCTGGTTGAGTTCACGCGAAATGATCTAAGTACAATTTGTAAACAAGAGCAAAAAATACCTCAGCTACACCGAAATCCGATATTTTCAGAACTTGACCAGATGTGAGAAGAAGGTTACCAGGTTTGATATCTTTATGTACAATGCCTTTGCTATGCAAATATTCAAGACCATCCACTAATTGGGTGAAATATCTGTGAATAAATAAAAGCTGTGTATTATTTTTGAACAAATTTTGATTGTCAGGTTGATAATGACAATTTACCATGGGGAAATTTTATGCTATCTATAATTATGATAATAATAATAATAATAATAATAATAATAATAATAATAATAATAATAATAATAATAATAATAATAATAGTAATAATAATAATAATAAATCTGCAGGGAGGACTGCCTATGGTCTGGGGTATTGACGCACCTCCTTTCCCGAGTTACTCTGGACGCACACTCTATGTGCCAAGGAGTACTTAATGAAAAGCCCAACCCGGGGTGTTATGCGAACCGTGCCCATCGGGTCCCTTGGCACCAGGGCGCTTATGTTGGTGTCGACCTACGGAGCCCTGGGATACCAGGCGCCCTCCCAGAGTTAATATAGCCTTACCCGGAAAGAGGTTACGGGTGGACCCTCTTAAATCCTCATCTTACTCGTGGGAACAAATATGGAAACGCGCAACTCTAAAGCAAGAAAAACCCAAAACTACAAAGGAAAAACCGACCGAACCGATGATAAGGCAGAAGAATTGACTCAGGTCTCTGGGACAACACGGTGTACGCGCCTCTAGCGCGTAATCTCTGCTGCCGCGCCGGGCCGTCTAGCGCACAGCTAATCGCGCCGCGACGCCGGCCGCGGCCAGCTTCAGCGGCGCTGCCCTAGAGAGCGCTCGCGTCGCCAAGATGTTTTAAGTTTTACTAAGGTCATTTTATTTTGTTTACAAAAGGAAAGAAATAAGTTGTCTGGTTCCCAGAGTTGTAAATAAATGTAAATAAAGCAAAGAAGGTTCAAGGTTAAAGGTGTTTAAGTTTTTTTTGCTCAGAATTATGTTTTGTTCTCCAACGTCTTATGCCGGGCGCGGGATACCAATTTACCCAGGTCCTGGGTGCACGCCGATACAAGTGCCATTTCATCGCCATTCGGCTAGCAGCAGTCTACGGCTCCACAGCTCCAAGTTGCGCCCGGCAATTCAGTGCTCATAAGGTAAGGTTTCCCCGGTACGCCCGGTGTCACAGGTAATTCCCCGGTACGCCCGGTGTATTAGTTTGTAAGCCCCGGTTAGCCCGGAGAAGTTTAGATAGGGACCCCGGTTCGCCCGGAGAGTAGTTTAGGGACCCCGGCTAGCCCGGTGAACTGCAGAGTAGGGACCCCGGCTCGAGCCCGGTGTTAGTTAGGAACCCCAGCTCAAGGGAGCTGAAGCCAGGCCCGCGCGCTCTTGGTAGCTTTTCTCATATTTAAATTAAATTAAGGGATTAAGGCCCCGACATAATGGTCCTTCGAGTCGATTAAACGAATTAGTCCTGGACATAAGGTCTTTTGAGCTGATTAGAAGGATTCAGCCTATGAACGGTTCAGGAAAGGGTACTAAGGTATAAGGTAGTCAAGATTCACATTTCTTTTTAGAGGTAGCTGAGAAGCAAAGAATTAAGGTTTTTGTTTTGTTCACACTCTAAAAAATTAAGGATGACGTCAGCAGAGCAGCCCGCACAGCTGAGCAAGGCACAGCGCGCTCTGGCGGTCTCAAAAGGTAAAAGAGAGGATATATTCGGTAGAGTTCAAGCCTTCTACAACACGGTGTCACAGCTACAGCCAGATGAACTCAGCGCACATCGAGCAATTTTGGATCGGTTGCAAATGTTGAAAAGCAAATTTGACACAGTTCAATGGGAAATTTTAGAGTACAACACTTATGTGTCCAAGCCAGAAGCTCTCGAGGTAAACCAAGTTAGCTCAGCTTTTGAGGGACTTGTTCAAAAAATCGAATGCAAATTCACAGAGCAAGGCGTTACACTCGAGCAACAGCCAGCTCAAAATTTGCAGCCAGCCCAACCCGCAACGCGACCTGCCGTTAGATTGCCGAAACTTGAGCTAAAACATTTTTCGGGAAAATCCGAAGACTGGCTAAGTTTCTCCAACATTTTCATGATTGCTGTTCACGGTGTTGCCTCCTTGAGCGCTGTGGAAAAATTCCAATATTTAATCAGCACTTTAGAGGGCGATGCTCTGAGTTTAATTAAGGGCTTAGAAATTACGGCGGCTAATTATGTGGTGGCATGGGATCTTCTGAGAGCTCGCTACCACAATGAGCGCAGATTGATTTCCTACCATATCGGTCAATTATTGGATTTAGAGGAAGTAAAAAACAACGCGGCGTCTATCACAAAATTCTTAGTAAATTTTAGGGAGCATACCCAAGCGCTAAGCTCCCTAAAAAGAAACGTAATGGATGGTAACGATATTCTGGTCTCAGTAATTTTGAGAAAACTTCCTTTTCAACTACGCACACGTCTTGAAGACTACAGAGGCGTTAACACAGATTTTCCAAAAATTGATGAGATTCTAAAATTCTTGGAAAAAGAATGCATACAACTTGAGGACATAACGCAAGCGGAAAAGAAGCAATCCCAAAATTCCAAAGGGGCCGATGCTTCTGCGGAGCAAGGCTCCTCAGTGAGATTTCCCAAATGTCCGTTGTGTCGGTCTGCGCATAAACTGGCACAATGTCGGGAATTTTTGGCAAAGTCTCCAGAGTCGAGACGAGTTACAATTAAGGAAAATCAACTCTGTTTCAACTGTTTTGATGGAAAACACGGCATATACCAGTGCACCTCAAAAGGGCGATGTCGAGAATGCGGAGGAATGCATCACACCCTGATTCACCTCCCAAATAGATCAGCGCCTGATGCCCACGCAACACATTGTGCACAGACGCACGATGAAGGTGCATCTTGCGACGAAAACGAGGAAGAGAGCTCTCCCACGCACAGACACGAAGCCAGGGCCAGGACAAATGTTGCACTTACTTCGCGTGCATCCACAACAGTGCTCCTGGGAACGACGTCACTCATGGTGAGGGGACGAGATAAGCAGTTTTTTAAGGCAAGGGCATTAATTGACAGTGGCGCAATGACATCATTTTGCACAAAAGCGTTTGCAGAAAGGGCGGGACTCGCTCTCGAATCCGAAGAACCCGCTATTTTTGGGCTAGGAGATCACCGCGTCGACACTGCCACCGGTTCCACATGTTGCTTGATCAGACCTTGCAAGAAGAAACAACCCTTGCTAAAGACCAGAACCATCGTAATTGATCAAATCACTGGTAAATTACCTACAAAGCAAGTGCGAACTGATATTCGTAAAAAGTACAGTAAACTTAAGCTGGCGGATGAGGATTTTGATAAGCCTGGAGAAATTGACTTTCTCATCGGCGCTGACGTGTTTCCGTACATTTACACGGGTAGGCGAATCTCACACACTCAGGATTATCCGGTAGCGCTAGATAGCATTTTTGGCTGGGTTATAACTGGACGGTGTCCCGCCAAAGAAGGATCCAGTCCTGTCGCGTCAGCGTATTTTACACGCGCCAATGAGGGTGTCAATGTTGGGTTGCCAGTAACCAGGACCGCTCATCCTACCACGGAAGACCTATCTGGAATTGAGCGGCGTAAAGCGCGCTACCTACGTTTCAAGCATAAAACTAGAGGTTTCGCGTCTCGTCCTCTCTCATCCGCTAAAGTAGCCTTTTAGCTTCTTATTGAAAAAGCCATCGAGGCCATAACGGACAGCCAGTCCTCTCATGGCATATTTTGCTCATTTGTTTTTCTTTTCTCCCTGCTGAAGCAGCCTTTTTGTTATTTTGAAATAACGTGGTTATTTCAAGGGGCGCCGGTATGTACGCGCCTCTAGCGCGTAATTTCTGCCGCCGCGCCGGGCCGTCAGCGCACAGCTAATCGCGCCGCGACGCCGGCCGCGGCCAGCTTCGGCGGCGCTCCCCTAGAGAGCGCTCGCGTCGCCAAGGTGTTCTATGTTTTAGTAAGGTCATTTTATTTTGTTTAGAAAAGGAAAATAATAAGTTTTTTGGTTCCCACAGTTGTAAATAATTGTAAATAAAGCTAAGAAGGTTCCAAAGTTAAAGGTATTTAAGTTCCTTTCTAAGAAGTGTTTTTTGTTCTCCAACTTCCTATGCCGGGCGCGGGATTCCGATTTACCCAGGTCCTGGGTGCACGCCAGTACAAGTGCCATTTCATCGCCATTCAGCTAGCAGCAGTCTACGGCTCCACAGCTCCAAGGTGCGCCCGGCAATTCAGTGCTCATAAGGTAAGGTTTCCCCGGTACGCCCGGTGTCACAGGTAATTCCCCGGTACGCCCGGTGTATTAGTTTTGTAAGCCCCGGTTAGCCCGGAGAAGATTAGATAGGGACCCCGGTTCGCCCGGAGAGTAGTTTAGGGACCCCGGCTAGCCCGGTGAACTGCAGAGTAGGGACCCCGGTTCGAGCCCGGTGTTAGTTAGGAACCCCAGCTCAAGGGAGCTGAAGCCAGGCCCGCGCGCTCTTGGTAGCTTTTCTCATCTTTAAGGTAAATTAGGGACTAAGGCCCCAACATCGGGAATACTTTTTTTTTCAAATTTTTCAGATACTTTTGATCGCAATTAAATCTAAAATATCATAAAATTTCAAGGAAAAATGTTTACGACTTTCCTCAGAAATACACATTTTATCCGGGGACAGTTGACAATTCTAGAATGTTCGTCCGGGGTTTTTCCTTAGCATGGCAGTATGGTCATGTGAGCCGAATGACGGAAGAAAGGCTGCCAAAAAAGGTGCTTGAGTGGATTCGGCGTGAGACGGAAGGGACGCCCAGCGAAAGGGTGGTTGAACAAGAAATGAGGAAATGCTAGTTCACAGAAAGGCTTTAGGAAGATTGGTGTTTTAGGCGATTGTGCGTCAAAAAGCGTTGGAGAGCGCTATAAAAACGCATCTCATGTATATGAGGACTTATCTGTAACAATAGCGGATGTGAAAAATTACCTTTTCGAAACACGCTTAAAAAACTGTTTTGTTCACACAAAAATTTAATATGCTTAGCTCTGGCATAATGGACAGATCTCGAAGATCACATCTCAAGTATTTTCTAAAAATTTTCTCGATGCCAAAAGAGTTTTTTGAATGTGTTTCGAAAAGGTAATTTTTTACAT